TCCTTTCCCTTCTCTCTCCCTTTCTCTCCCCCCATTCGTCTTTGTTTACTGTTAGTCTTTTCCTCATGCTCTTCCTTCCTGTTTTGTTCTTAGTTGCTCTCTTTATATCAAAGGAGACATTTGGCATTTGTTTTTTAGGGCTTGGCTAGAAGAAGCTAAAATTTAAACCACGGTTTTATAAAATTTGCTTTATTCAACATAAAGGTTTATCTGCAAGAATTATTTATTAAATGATTATCATAGTGTTAAAAAAACCCTCAAAATAGTAAATTAGTAATTTATATGGAGTAATTTGTACAGGCCACTAGAATATAGTATGTGCAGTTATTCAATAAATTTAATCTTTAATATTTTACACTTAAATCAGAAATTAATGTTTTTGGAAATGGGTATTGCTAACTATGTACTTTTACATCTATATGGTTACTCTTTAAGATAAAACTGATGAAGCTTCAAAATAAGAATGACAAGCTATTTAACATGTCTTTTAGTGTGCAGGTTATCTAATTCCAATATTTTAAACATTGATTAAAAATTTTTGGTACAGTTGGCAGTTCAGTTAATCTTTGTGATGTCCTCCTTACATAATGTGCACATAGTCTTCCATTTTTCAGAGCTTTCACTGCTGTCATTTTCATGTGATATTTGGAACAATCACAAAAATAAATGCAACAGTTAACACCCATCTGTAAGAACAGGAAGCTGAAATGTTGTTGCTTTGGTTTCTTACACATGTATTTGGAAGAAGTGAGACAGTGCTAAAGGAACATTAAAACTAGAAATTTTAGACCACCCTATCTGGGCTTTCATAGGTAGAATATAGGCAAAGCTCTCAAATGTGTAGGTGAGCCAAAGACCTTGATTCAAGTAATTATTCAGCTTTTATAACAATAGTTTTATTCAGATTATTGAAATGATCTAATTCACATGGGTGGGTAACTGTTACCTTAAGAATAATCAAGTCAGAATGCTCATCTGGAAAATTTGGCATTACATTTGAATGCATGTTATTAGTTTTGTTGTTGTTGTTTTGTTTTAAAATCTTAGACATTTTTCTGTATTGAAATCAAATGCACTTAAAAATATTTTTTATTATTTATTGATGGAACTTTATTTATTTATTTGCTTATATGTGGTGCTGAGACTCGAACACAGTGCCTCACACATGGTAGGCAAGCATTCTACCACTGAGCCACAACCCCAGCACCATGTTAGTAAGTTTTGAACAGTATAATGCTTAATGGTACATTGCCTAGTCTCAATGTACTTAGCCAGATTAAGACTTGATGGACTAGTGAGAACCTTCTCTTTTGTGGATTACTTTAAAAGTAGTTTTGCAGGTAGGTTTGTTTTTTCCTGTGTGGCTGTGAAATTATTACAGGGAAGGCCATGAACTAAGGCTAACATGAACTTTATAGTGTTGCACTAAGACCAGAGGAAATTAGTACACATGGTGATATTTATGACAAATACAGAAAAATATTTGTGTGCATATGCATAAATAGATCTTCTGTAGTTGTTTGTGGAGAGGATAGTTAAAAGGAAGGTTACCTCACCTCTCTTTTCTGGACAGAAGGTACTATTTTTACTTTTTATAAACGTTTACTAAATATTAAAATAGTATTTAGAGCTCAAGGCTTTGCTCTGTCCTTGGGAGAGGACTGCTGGAGTCTTTGAGAGACCAGCATTTCTTTTAACTTCACCTAGGCATTAGTATTATATAGACCCAATCAAATCAAATACTGAGAGAATGCTTGCAGCAGGTAGGTGGTTTGTAGATGATAAGGGCACTAGTGGCAGCATTGTCAAACCTTTATCTTACCACTAATTTAGTCAATCAAATTTATAGTAGTATTATGTTTATTGCCATTTCTACTGCTTTTTGTTTATTTTGTTGTTTTCTCCTTTATCAGATAGGCACTGGATGAACCATGTAGCTAAAATTTGCACTTAAGAAAGAAAGATTGTCTGACTGACAGAATTTCAAACATATAACAACACATTTGTTGAAAAGACTGGGGAAACGGATATTCTCATGCTTTGGTGGTTGGAATACAAATTGTTGCCAGTATTCTGGAGGCAAATTTGGTGATCATCATAAACTGCATATGCATGTAATCTTTGATTCTTCTAGAAATCAATTCTGAACATGCCTCCAGTAACACAGAAATGTGAGCAATTAGCATTGTTTAATTTGCAATGTATTATAAAGAACATAAATGCCCATATAGTTAGGTTACCTAAATGGTTGAATAAACTATGGTACAGCCATATAGTGGAATACTATGTAGATATTACTGAGTAATATCTGTGACCAGGTGTAGAGTGGTTTCCATGATATATTATTAAATGAAGAAAAAGTAAAAGAACATTTGTAGTGTCGTACTCTTTATATAAGAAAAATGAGATCTAAGAATACATGCTTAATAGTGGAAAAGAAGCCCGATAAGGATACATCAGAAACTAAACATACTGGTTACTAATGAGAGGTAAGAGAGAAACAGGTGGAAAGAAGGGAATCAAATAAATTACATGTAGACAGTGAGAATTAGGTTTCTCAGTGTTGAAGAAAGAAACTACAAGTAAGAAAAAGGTAAATGCACTTGTGGTATTGAAATTGAATCGGAAGTATAACATGGTTTTTTAAATTGCATGGAAATGAAGGGAGACCCTCATTGCTATACAAAATTACATATAAGAGGTTGTGAGGGGAATGGGAAAATAAACAAGGAGAGAAATGAATTACAGTAGATGGGGTAGAGAGAGAAGATGGGAGGGAAGGGGAGGGGGGATAGTAGGGGATAGGAAAGGTAGCAGAATACAATAATTACTAATAGGGCATTATGTAAAATTGTGGATGTGTAACYGASGTGATTCTGCAATCTGCATTTGGRGTAAAATTGGGAGTTCATAACCCACTTCAATCTAATGTATGAAATATGATATGTCAAGAGCTTTGTAATGTTGTAAACAACCAATAAAAAAATAACATGGTTTTTAATATTTATACAGATATCTCTGTATATAAAGTAGGTTGACACCCAATTCGTGTCTTCATACATGTATTTTGGATAATGATGTCTGTCACATTCCACAGGTTTGCTGTGTTTTAAACCCATTTTTTTWAAATTAATACTTTTAAATTAGGGAGTGTGAAATTTTACTATCTTAAATTTCAGTAATTTTGATTGGGATTGAGAACTAGTTGTAAAACTCATGTACTACTTCTATTTAGATCTCCTTTTTGCAGAAAAAATTTTTTAACCTGTGACAGTCATTAAAATGAAATGCAAAAATGACCTGAAGTTAGAATTTGGGTATTCAATCTAAGGTGAGAGAACAAGATAGAAAGCTCAGAAACAGGGGTTGCATTCTTCCATAAAATGTTTTGATTGTGCCCATCTTTTCTTAAGAATGCATCCTTATGCATTCTCAGTGAAGTATGTGATGTTTCTCTCCTTTTGATAACTTTCTGTTGATCTCCCTGTGAAGGCTATAAGCCCTACAAGGGCTCGGGCAACATCTATTCTGGTTTGTTTTTTTGTCTGGTACCTAATGAAGACTTGGAACATGAGAGAGTCTTCTATCTTGAAACAGATAAATGCATGTATGAAAGGAATTTTCCACTGAAGGGCAAATTCCAGTGCATGAGTTTGAGTGGGGAGGTGTGTCATTCTGGCAGCTAGTGGATAGAGACTAGGGCCACTGCTGAACAATTTGTAACGAACAGCCTCCCACAACAAAGAATTATCTAGCTCAAAAGTCAGTAGCGCCGAAGTTGAGAAATCCTTGTTCAACTGCCGGTGTTACTACTTTTATAAGATTAATATGCTTAATATAGTGTGTGTGTGTGTGTGTGTGTGTGTGTGTGTGTATGTATTAATTTCTTTAATTGGGGCTTGGACCCAGGGATGCCTTACTACTGAGTTACATTCTAAATACTTTTTAAATTTTAGGCAGGATGTGTCACTAATATGTCAAAACTGGCCTCGAATTTGGAATCCTCTTGCCTCAGCCTCCTGAGGCGCTGGAATTATAGCCATGTGCCTCTGTACCTGGCTCATAACTAGTATTTTCAATGGGAGGAAATTAGAAATTTTGACTTTTTGGTCTGTCTGTGATACTCTTAGCTAATGTCAAGTAGTATCTTCCCCAATCTCATTATCGGTTGATACTAAAGATTCTTCATCTGCAGAGTTAGAAATTATTTTCTTTTTATCCTAAAATGCAGTGGCTATGAAGAAGATACCAGCAAATCTTGCATGAATTATTTCATCACAGTACTGAGTGCAAGGTCTAGTTTTTGCAAGATAATTCAAGATAGTTGTTTGACCTCAGAACACCATTAGATATATATACATGTAAATATACATTTAGGCATATATGTGTATGTATACCTAAAGTTAATGTGTTTGTTTCCTGTTACCATGCCAACTAAACCCTGAATTTTTTTATTAATATTTAGTTTTAGGTGAACACAATATCTTTATCTTTATGTGGTGTTGAGGATTGAACCCAGTGCCTCGCGCATGCCAGGCTAGTGTGCTACCGCTTGAGCCACATCCCCAGCCCAAACCCTGAAATTTTTATGTAGGAAACAAAGTCGGGTGGAAACAAAGAAGAAATTGGATATTTCTATTTTAGAAATTGAAAGTTTTATATACTTATGTAAAACCCTTGTGAAAATTGGTGGTCCTATTTAT